AGCATCATATATATTATAAATTGTCAATATAAAAATTTCTTAAGACTTTCATTTGACATACATTTTTAATACTTCATATAACTTGGGTATAAAAAAATTTAATTCGACTTCTAAAATAGGTTGCCACCCTCTTCAAAACATTTCCAAACTACGACCTTCTTAAACCTCTTTTGTCTGACACTCATATAGTGATACCTTATTTGGATTATTTTTATCAAAATTGAATTAAACTTCTTAAACATGTGTCAACCCTCCTACACGTAGTTAAGATATAAAGCATTTTCAAAACCATATCGGTTGATACCCATATTATAAGAATTGATTTAACTTTTTAAATAATTTGAGTAAACATGTTAGCTGAATGTGTATTGGTGCTACGGGGCATAAACGTTATCTACACAACTACGGGTATATGAGTACGAGTTGTTGTTTTGATTTTTTTAAGTAAATATATCTTTTTTAAGTTTCAATTTAAATACAATTTCGTGATGGAATTTTTTTCTTTATGCAAAACTCAAGATATTGCAGTATCTCAGATAAGTGTGCCACCATTTTCGACCAAAAACACGTTTTTGTAGAAAAATTTAACAACTCGTGAGACTTGCTCATATGTTCGATATATGTAGAAGGAGCTTTGGATAACACCTCACAACAGGTGGGTTGTGAGACACTACAGAAAAGTAGCGTACAAGTACTTAATCCCAGGTGGATAGAAGCGCTACTACGAAAACCAGGAAAGGACGTGCACACTGGTGAGTTCTTTAACCTGCAAACATCCAGGCCATGAGAACAGTAACGGCAAGCAAACGTCCTGCAGGAAAATATTGGGGTTGCAGCCCTCGGATTCTTAGATGGATATAGTCAAGCACATGATAACTTATGAAGGCGGTGGACTGCGGCACTACGGCCAACCTAGCGACTGTGAGGCGCTCACTCAAAAGACTAAATACAACGTCTTATGTGTGTAATACACCCATCTGCGATCCCTAATTTAGTACACGCAATCAGTCTATATGCAGAGATCAATCTTCAGCGGAAGTAATGTAATAAAAGCATTATACTGCTAAGGGATAGTCAGAGATCTTGTTTGCCTTGAAATCAAGTCTGCAATGGTCTTCCTCCTCTGGATGCTGTGCCACAACGGCATAGAAGGTAATGAGGAAGCAGACCTGCTTACCAGGAAGGCGGCAGTAACCACACCGATAGGCCCCCAGCCTATCGAGTTTGTGGTAGAACTACACACTATTAGAGAAGAGCGTAGGAGAGAAGACAGAACTAGTAGAAAGCGGGACTGGAGCCAAGCCATTGGGCTGCGACAGGCAATGAAGTTACTGGGAGTATTCAATAAGAAATGATGTGAGAAAGTTACCAGCCTCCCAAACAGAGAATTCTAACAGGTGAAGAAGCACAACAGCCAACGCTAGCCCTGTACTGCACCCTTTATAGTAATTCCGATAATAGAGAGTATATAAGCCCACTGGCCACTTACCCTGAGGAACCCCTTCAAGTATTTTTCCACCACAGTTCAGCCCTAATAGTACAACTCCACAACAAGCTTTTCAGGCGTTTGGCGCTTTCCAGGCTTTCAGCAACGAAATTCAGCTATTCCTTAAAGCCTGAAAAGCGCTGAATGCCTGAAAAGCTTGTTGTGGAGTTGTACTCGAAGTAATGATATATTTTGTATGTTAGGTTATGCTGGCTGACCATAAGAGGTCCCACCTAGGCAAGTATAACGTCTATAGCGTTGCCAGATACATTTACCCCCATGAATCAGTGCTTTCACGCAATATTAAAGAAAATTGCCGTTCGTTTGGTGAATTTTAATAGACATTTTGGTCCTTTGTCGATAGCTGTACCTTGCCGGTTAACGCGAGTCTTTGCCTGCTGAAGGATGGACACTCGCAAAAAATTAAAGGCTCCACAGTTTCCTCGTGATAGTTACATTGCCCTACCAATCCTACCAAAAGTCTCGAGGCTATGCCTCTTCGTCATAGTATAAAATCAGTAAATTTCCTATAGAATGAAATACACATAATTTGTGTGTCCTGGGACCCAATATAGGTGGACGGTTTTAGAAACTGCTAGCCTCCTTACAGTCTGCGAGGGTAATCGAATTGGTTTTATTAGAAAGTAGAGGCTTAATCACCGCCTGACTATGTATGTATGTAAATGTTTATAGCTCGCTTGGTGGGTTAATTTCATATAATATCTCTGTCGCTTTCGTTCTTGCAGAGACCTCAGTTGGATAGATACTGCAGTGATTTGGTATCTGAAAGGACCTATGCATTTCCGGTTCAATGCAGTATACTGCAGGCCCTACTTCTTCGTAAATTTTTTAAGAACCGCCTATGCAGATGTACCTTGCGTATTGTGGCTTCTAGAGACCTTTCGAAACTCAGATGCGAGATCACGTAGTCTATTCGCCCTGATAAGGATGCCGCTACACTGCTGTGGCCGTACGTTCTGATTCCAAGCTGCACTGCGGAACAAAGCCTCGCGGCAGTTGCGAAACCTATACATACATAGTATGTATGTGTGTATGTACTTACTTTTTAAATGTCGAATTGATTTATTGTATTTATGTATACTTTCGAGAATCTCTGCATGTGGCGATAATATTAAAAATAGCAATAATGCAATTAACGGACTCGAATGCATGAAAACATCTGAACATTGAACTTCAACAGGTACATATGTATATTAGGGTGGTCCTTAAAAATCAGTCTTCAAACGGTAATACCACGGTCACAGACATCACATACAAATTCTGGTCCCGATTGGAGACGGTTAAGGCGTGTCGCACAGGGGCCAAAGTTCAGATTCCTCTATAGAGACTCAAAAAATTAAATATTGATTTTTTTGGCAACTCATACCCAAAATCGATACTACCGTAGTGCGACACACCTTAACCGTCTCCAATCGGGACCAAAATTTATATGTGGTATCTACGACTATAGTAGCATCGACGTAGGGGTTGAGGCTTAGAAAATCTGATATAAAAACTTGCTTCCTACATTTAAGGATCACCCTAATGTATATACATACTACATATGTAAATAATTATACAGCGGGTGCTATCAACGAGTGCTGCTGATAAACTGCGAACAATTGATTACCTTAAGTATTAAAATTAAGTACAAAAAAATTCAAATTTAAGGCAAATAGAGAGAGAGAGAGAGCGAGGGAAAGATATAAGAAGAATATCGTGGAAACTATATATACGTACATACAGTGTTGCCGTTGAGCATTTTCAGAAAGATGCAAAAAAGGGACCATTCACGAAAAAAAGGTCACCATATTATTTTTGCTTTCCTTTACTAGTAAAAGAATAAATCTGAGAACCAAAGTCAAAATAAAATTTACATGTATGTATTATAAAGTCTTTTCGCTGCTAGAACGCTCTGCTGTTGAATTTAAATAGAAAAATAGCGCCACAAGCTTTGCACAAAACAGATTTGCAAACATACACAGAAATCTGGGGGTCGATCTTTTAAAGTTTTAAGCGATTAATTTTTTGGTACTTACAGTAGGAAATATTTTTGAGTAGCATGGCTCTGTTAACATTTCCTAAAAAAATATCTGAGAAGGGGCAAAAGTCGCACATAATTTTGGAAAAGGGTAAAAAAATCCAAATTTTTTAAAAAGTCGGGTAAAAGGTTTTTGGCTTTTAAAAAGGGTCAAATTGCCCCTTTAGTCGCACAACGGCAACACTGCATACATACATATGTACATATGTACCAACTGCAAAACATATGCTTGCAGCAATGTTGCCAGATTCACAGTTTTAACTGTAAATTACAGCATTTTAGATCAGCACAACTTTTTTTTTTGTAATTTCCGATTTTTACGAATAAATTAAAATTTCTCTTTCGTTTTTCTTTGTAAGTCAATTTTTTAAGTAAAAGAGGACGATGGAGGGAGCAGAGCACAGCGGTTTCAAACTGGAATTTATTATTCATAATTCACTGGCACGCTAATTTTTCAATCAATTTGATTTGCCCAGTTGATCCCGAGTTTTGAAAAACTCGATTCTCCAGTTCCAGTTAATAAATGTTATATAACAAAAACTAATTGAAAACAATTGTAGCGTTCCCTCCACATGAAAAAAAATTCACAACAAAAATTTTAAAATTTATAAAAAAAAGTTTACAAAAATTAAAATTTTTGTTTTGAGTTTTTAGAAAAATTTAGCGTATAATAGTGGGTATATATAACAAGAATATAAGCTACATGATAGATATGCTCGAAATGTTAGCGAAGAAAAATTATACTTAATAATCTAATTAATTTAATGATAATAAAACTGCATACTTAAAATTTTTCTAAAAATTAAAAAATTTAAATTGCGATGAAAGTTTGACAGTTTTTTTTAAATAATATTTCAAATTTTTCTTGTGAAATATGAAAAAAATAAAAATTGCAAAATCGAGCTCAACTTGTCCTTTGCTAATTTTTTAAGCTTTCATTAAAAAAAAATTAATCAAATTGGTTTAAAAATGAAGGCAGGCTGCAGTGAATTACGAACAGTTAATTCCAGTTTTGAACCACTCGGCAGCGTTTTCTTATTTCAAAGAAATGGTTTCAGCTGTCCTTTGCATTCCAGCTGCCACAGAAAATGTGGAAAGTATATATTCCCATATAAATTTGAATGAAACAAGAAGTAAACTAGAAATTCCAGCACTCGTTGGTATTTTAAGAGCTAAGAATTTCTTTAAAAAATGCTTCGGGAGGTAATAAATTTGAGGTATCGAATTAAATGTTCAAAAAAAAAAACAAAGCGACTTAGAAAAATTATGAAAATGTATTTTACTAAAACAAAATGCGATTTAAATGTTCCGTTTTATAAAAGCAATTTTTGTTTAGTCTTCGTTTCAGTTTTTTTCCAGAAACTTAGAGTAAAAAAACAATGGCAACATTGGCTTGCAATAACAAAATTAGCGCGTTCATGGAGACAAGTGCTTCCCAAAGCCGCTCATATCAGCTCACTTCGTTTTTTATTGCTTATTGCTCTTGATCATCAGCTATTTACAGCAGCGCGAGCTTGCAATTGAGTGCCAGTGTCAGTTGCTTATTTAGTCAGTACTCAACGTTTGACAAGTACAGAACACAAAATCTCGAAGTTTTCTACTAAAAAAAAGAGCACAGCTGTAAAAAAATGTCCACAATTGTGAGGAAATTGATTAGCACCGACAATGCGGCCAAACCAGTAGCGCCATATAGGTATGCAAATATGATTTTATAAAAAAAAGCAGCGTATAGAACTACAAGCGAGCATTAAGAATAAATTGACACTTGTCAAAATAAGCCATTAAAATTATTAGTCTTCCACACCAGCATTGGCCACCAACTAGCATTCAGTTTTTATGCTACACAAGCACGCCTTTCCTTGTGTATTTATGTATAGTATTCTATATATATATATATAAGTAAATGTATGTATGCATTTTTATATTCCAGTCAAGCTGTCGTTGCTGATCGTACTGTCTATGTATCCGGCTGTTTGGGCTTGGACAAAGACACCATTAAACTGGTGCCTGGCGGTGTAGAGCAGCAAACCGAGGCGGCCTTGAAAAACTTGGTTGCCACTCTGGAGGCCGCCGGCTCTGGCGTTGACAAAGTGATCAAAAATACAATTTATGTAAAGGATCTGAATGACTTTGGTGCGGTCAATGAGGTTTACAAGAAAGGTGAGTGGCTTACATGGTATTGGTTTTTATTTTTTGCATTTGTTATTGTTGTTGTTTTTTTTTTTTTAACCTAATCAATATTGAATAATCGTTAATTGTCGGCTAATTGTCAAGTAAGTGACTAGAATTATATTGGTTGTACAAAAAAAAACAAGACATAGCTTATCAGCAGTTAGTACCCTGTTGTAGTAGAATTGATGAAAATATTCAGCGTAAACAATTTGTTATCTGTAGTTGGTTGATAAGCGTGCGCTTTATTTGTTTATTGTAGCGGCAACTTTTAAGTACTCGTTGCACGTCTGAAGCTTTTACTCTCTTACACTCTCTTTACTTTAGTCTACAAAAATGTCTCCACACAAATGTATCTACTAACAACATAATAATATTTTTTATTTTCTCTCGTTTTACAGTCTTCTCCAAAGATTTCCCCGCACGCGTCTGTATTCAAGCGGCCCGCTTGCCTCTGGATGCTTTGGTGGAAATTGAGAGCATCGCTTTGACCGGTGATGTGGAGACCCAAGAATGATAGAATACAAGATTGCGCCGATTGCAGCAGAATTCATGAGAGTAATTTTAGCGTGACGTCATCGTAGAGTTGACAACTGAGAGCGCCGAGAATGAGGGCGACTAGTGATGTGCTGAATTGTCCCCAATACTCGGTACCCAATACTTAAAAAAGATTTCGGTACCCTATACTTCCTTTTCGGTATCCGATACCGATTATTTACATTAAACCCTCCCCATTATATGCATATCAGGTTTATAAAAAACTTTCATTACTAATTTATATGATATCGGCTAAAACACTTGAACTTATCGCCACAGAAAAATATTATTTTATCACTTTTAACCTTAGTCGATCCAAGGTTCAAGAAAAATACTTTGACGGATGAAGAAGCCTTTCAGGGGAGAGATTCTGTAGCCAGTTAGCGACAAGTTTCGGATCGATATCGCACTTGTTGACTTACAAATATTTGATATCAAACGTCGACAAAACCGATACCGATTCGAAAATTGTCGTTAACTGGTAACAGAATCTGTCCCAGGCCTACAAAAATGATATCGTCCGATTCAGCTGGAACAAAAATGCTTCAAACAAGTAAGGGTTTCTCTGTATTATGGCATCGAACCGACATATATACATCTTTCATTTGAATCAGTAAAAAAGCTCTATTGGCTCTTACATTCGGGTTTTGTTAGGCGTTTCTTCCATATTTTTGGCCTATGTGCGCTTTTATTCGAAACCTAAGTGTTTCGGTACCGAGTATCGAGAGTATTGGGTACTTAAAAGTATTGACTCAGCACATCACTACTGCTGTCTTCTCTACTATGACGTCACCAAAACAGCTGATTCTGTCAAAATCACTGAGAGCCGAGTAGCGGTATCGTCATCGGCGCCACCTCTGTATTCTCTCCACCGTGGTGGAGACTATAGTTATTTTTTAAACAGTTTTTTATACGTTTTTTCTACTGAATAAAATTGCTGCTTTTATGTAACGAATTGTATCGAAAAATGTTATATATTTTTCAGTTTATCTACCTTATTAGGATACCACATAAATACAGAAAATTCAATTTGGTTGGTATCTTGCGGTTCCGCCCAAGGTTTGAAAATCCGCATTCGCTGTCTTTTACAGCTGCAGGTCTCTCACCGAAGGTAATTTACTGACTTTATGTTACTTTTGTAAAGCCTGTGATGTGGAAAAACTTTACGAATTTTTGGACACTTCATAAATATTCAGTGAATCCTTCTAAACCTGACAAACTTGGGGGATGTGTCTTCCGCAAAAATATCTCTAATTCCAAATGTAAATTTCCAAATCATTTTGCTGTGTTTAAAGCAGAGTTTGTTGCCATGAAACAGTATCAACAGAAGTGTATGCATGCTAATGAGCCAACTTCCAAAGCGGTGAGTATTTATTAAGTGTCCTTTGTTCAAAGCACAATTTACTTGAAAATGTAAGTGAATGCTTAACACCCAGCTTGGATACATTTAACCACTTCGCCAACAAACTTATTTAGGTATGAGTTCACAGCGGTATCGCAGAAAACTTTGTAGCTGGTGAACTGGCGAGTCTCCGTTGGATAATTGTGGTCTATTTCGGGGTAGTTAGGCAAGAAACCAAACATGACCCGCTAGGAATTCACAAGTAGGCTATAAGGATAACTTATTTAAAACCCCTACTCACTGAGCTTTGGAATTAGAGATTAAAACGAATCGTAAAACAGTTTACATAGGATTTTCGATAACCACAGCGGGATATATTCGCGTAGGAAACACAAGGACCGTCCAAAATAAATCAAACAACCCGAAGTTGTTTGGTTATATCTTTTGAATAAAATGAAGAAAAATGATGTGGTTTTCCTTAAATATTTACTTGTACCTTTAGATTTAGGGACAGACGCCATTTTTGATAACCAATATATAGCCCTATTGCACTTTTAATGATTTTTGCAACACTACTCGCGATAAGTTGTGGATTTATTGGCGGACATTCAGCTTCTTAAAAAATCCAACAGAAAATCTGGTGATCTCTAGGCAAATGACAAGAGGTAGATAGCACGGTGGCCAACCCTCACCTCTTCATTGAACCTTAACGTCAAACTCTCTATTGCGAAATGGGGTGGAGATGGGGCCGCGAAAGGTTTCGCTTCTGCTGTTCGTGGCGTAGTGCTATTCGATACAGAGGGCGCTTCGTGAGTTATAAAGATGGTCAAACGCTTTGGGAACTCTGCGTAAATTCGGAAAAAGTGAAACGCGTGCTCTTCACAAAAAGCCCGCCGGTAATTACACCAAATCTAAGCGGTTATTAGCGCGGTCGCATTGGCACTACTCATTTGGGTTCCCGGTCACTGGATTATAGGGAAACTGAACGGCTTACGAGCTTGAAGGCCGAGTATATTCTTCGAAGAAAAGAACGCATTGGTATGCCATTTACAACTTGCAAGCTGGGCTCGAATCGTAACAGTCGTGAACGAGCTACTCGTCACGTAAAAATGACAAAATCGGATTGTGACAGACGTGAACGAACTTCTCATATCGTAATTTGGTATTATGACAGGCGTGAACGAGCGAGTGAACGTACTCGTTCGTTCGAACTGTCATTCGATTAATATTTGACGAACGTACGCGCGCAAAATTTGATAACATTTTTTGAAAAATGTAAGTAATTATAAAATTTGTGCAAACATATACAAGTTCATAGCTATTTTTCTTATTTTAGGACCAACTACAATAAATTAAACTCTACGCAGAAGGAACTCATGGCGGAGTTCATGGCCGAACACCCTGACTTGGCAAAGAATTTACTCCCAAACTGCTCGCAGGGAAAAGCAACGGCCAACCGTTTGTGGGAAAACCTCACCAAACAATTACATGTGGTGGACCTTTCAGGAGTCATGGGCTGCACCTCTATATTGACAATTTATGGCAAGAATCTTGCAAGTATGGTCACAAATCTGGCAAACGGAATATTAGCAATAAAATGTTAAAATGAAAGAAGAGAACTTACTAGCATAACGTTAAGACTATGGTAACCTTTCCTGTTGAAGTACATGTGCTCGTCTCTAATTGGCTTTTGTAGTCCAATGTATGTTCCGTCTATGCATCCAACCACTAAAAGGAAAAACATTGGATTCACTACGCATTTTATTAGAACGCCTCTTCCTACCTCCAGGTACTTTATATTTTTCCGCAAACCGCTCCTTACATCTTGAAGATTCGTTGGGCTGGAACTTTATAAATTCCGGACACAATTTGCTTTCATTTCTTTTAAGATGTTGGACGTCCATTTTGATACCGTGCTCTGGCACATACCTATCAGGTAATCGCTACCAACTGTTTGCTGATAGCTACCACTTGCAAGGAGCGAGAGGCTTGCAGCCAATTGCAAAGCAGCAGGAACGGCTTTTGTGTCATCGCAGTTTATGTTTGTTTTCGATAAAACATACTGGAATGCCTCCTTGCTTAACCGAAATCTTTTGATGAATCTGCAAGTATAGGAGTAGAGAAGGTAATTTATTTCCTATGTATAATTACTTACGCGTTGTCGGATAATGCCAATGAGTTGCTTACGCACAACTCTTTCGTAATTTTCGCTTTCGCTAGAGCTTAAATAAAATAAAAGGCTCGGATCCATTTTAGTTTTGCAGCTTTTCTTTATTTACTTTTCACTTATTTTGACACTTCAATGTCTATTGTGACTTAAAAAAGGAAGAAGAAGAGAAAAATAATCGATAACCAAATAAACAATAACGATTCGTTCGCCTTCGATTGTTATCATCCGATATTGTTCATTCGATTAAACGATCACGTAATTTGTGTTCGTACGATTGCCGACTCGTTCACGTCTGTCACGATTCGACCCCTAATTTTTAACGAATTTGTCTATATTTTAGCAAACGATAGAATCATACAAAATGCAAAGTGTCGGATATCTTGGGCAAAAGTAGCCTAGGTAGTATCGTATAAGATATTGAAGGTTGTATTATTTTGAAAGAGAGGATATATTTAACACTAGCACAAAGGGACCATGGTCTTAACAGCTAACATGTGCAACAGGTCGGAGTAGTGACAGCTTTTTACCCACTCTTTAACTGACCTTCACTGGGTCGCCTTTTTTGATAACCAATATGGAATGGCAGATATAAATCTAAAATGCCTGACGAGAGTTATCAGAGACTCTAATTGGTTCAGCAATAATAACAGGGACATAAACTTATCCAGTCTAGTCACTTAACTCCTAAGACTGCTGCGGCTTTTGAGCGCAAGTCACACCTCTATATCTAACATAACCCGACCCAACTATGTACATATTTCTCTATGCACCTCTTGTAACTGTGCGGAAATTAAACACAAAAAAAACAAAAAAACAGAAGTACACCAGGAGACCAACGTAAACTTTCACAACTTGTTGCCGCCTACAAAAAAATTATGGCATGACACATTAAACTGAATGTTGAAAAATGCGAATAATGTCAAAAATATGCATTTTAATGTTGTAATTAACAAAACTGTTTACATGCGTCGTACAATATACAATGTAATTAATTTAAATCACCGCTTTAACTTGCAATTATGTTTCATAAATATGCGAGAAAACATGCGAAACGCATTTACCGAAAATCCATACAGAGACGAAGTAGAAATATGGAATTTGGCACAGGAAGCCGCAACACGCAGCATATGTCATGTAAATGAGTATGTTTGTGCAAAGGTACACATATATTTTGGTGGATGCGCACCTTCAAGCGCCCACACAGTGGGTGATCGCGTAAAATAAGACGAAGAAGAAGCTGCAACCTAAAGGCAAGAAAGAGCGTGGCTAACACAATGAAGGTTGCACCTTCAACGAAACGGATGCGACATGCTGTTATCCAGTTGTCGTTGTTGCACTTTCATAAAAAAAAGGATTAAATAAAAATCAGTACACTTGCGAGATATTAAAAAAACATTCAAAAAAAAAAACTGCAGAAAAAAGAATAAAAAATTGAATGCGGCTTAATGCTATTGAAGACAAACTAAGGAGTTGTTTATTTGTTAATTTTGCATTTATTTCATTTGCTATGCATTTTTATTAAATTCTCTTATTTTTTTTTGCCGAAATTTATTTTGGGGACTTTTGCGTGATATATGACACATGGCAAACGTTGACAATGATGATCTCTTCACCCACAACCAATTAATTTGATCATTACATTGATATAGTGGACAGGTAAAAGGATATGACAGTGCATATGTAACATGCATACGGGTACAAACACACACACACACACACACAAATGTACTTTTGTGCATACATAAGTATGCTTGATGAAGCCGAAGAGGCTTAAAAGCAACTTGGCCGACATATGTATGTATATAACTACTGAGCGCACAAATCTATACGCGAGTGTGTGTGCAAATGTCTTTTACATCCAATCAATGGGCCATTGGGTTAACCGTGCCGAGGCTACATACTACTACGTACGTACGAGATATCCATGGAATTTTTATGATTATGCTGACTGGCTGGCTGGTTGGCTGGCCGGTGAAAGTGCACATAATTTACAAGAATAACAGTTGTGAGTGAGACAAACAACCACAAAATAATGCAATGTGAAGCCCTTGTAGCAGTCGAACATACCTACTCATACTATGTGTGTACTTATGTATGTATGGCAGTGCATTGCTATAAAATGTCTTATCATTGCGCATAAATTGGTGAATTGTATTCACTGACATTCGAGCGAGAATATTCGGCAAATTAATATTGAATTAAATTTTATCGGCATTTACGATCCGTTTAAAGGCAAAAAAAGAAAAACAACAAACCAAAATATTTGTGCATGCACATGAGCTTATGCACGCACGCAAGCGCAGGAGTTATATGCAATAATATTCATATTTTATGCTCGAAAGTACTACCACCAAATATACATATGTATAGTATGTATGGATGCAAGCGTGAATGTGTAATAAAATCCCCAAATCTCGAGCCTTGATACTGCCCAGTAGCTTCAACGTTTTCTGCTA